CAGTCAGTCGCTTTTTACAATTTGTTAGAATCGATGGATTACTTGAAGATTATCATTCCCAACTTATTTCACCTTAAGATTAAACACCTAACCTAACCTAACCTTACATAAACCTCCCAAGTAGACTTAAGGTGTTTAATCATCAGGTGAAATGAGCTGAGTGGGATAAGCCTTGCATGATCCGAATTAGTTGCATAATAATATCCTCGTTAAAGTACTCATAAATAAATAGCAACAAACTTTACTTGTATATAATTTCTCGTCTCTGTGAATGTGTCAACTCTTTGTTAGAACTTAACCATGTGAAGAGAGAGGCGAGTTTGAGGAGGCAGGAGGCATGGTTGAGTTAAGTAGGTATATGGCCTGTCTACCTGACCAGCCCCCTGCCCCGCCACTCCCTGCCCCTTCCCACCCCTATCCTGCCCCCTACCTCCCAACAATGCCCTGCCCTCCACGCCCCTACCCACACCTGCCCTGCCCGACATTGTAGTATAGTCCTCGCCCCACTTCTCAGACGCCTTACCTTGGGCACTAACGAATCACACGTATGTTGATGACCTCTTGCTTTTACCTGATTCATTATGATGTTTACTTTATATGTAATGTAAAGGTGAAGTTTCAGAAATAAGAGTCACATTTCACTGTTGTGGTATATGAGTTATTTTCCCCCATAAGGTGTTCGGGGATGAGAGTGAAGGGGTTTTGATGTGGGGTATTGATTTAACCTCACCTGTAGACCAGAAAGAGACACCTCGGTAATCACAAAAGTTCATTAGGAATTAACTACTACAGTGTTTATCGTAGATGAAGTTTACTTAATATATTACCGCGTATATCCTTTAGTTTTTTTTTTTTGGATCTCTAGAACATAAAGTATATTGATGTTTGTGGTAACAGGAGTCCCTTTAAGAAGCTATTACATGTTTATCTTGTGGAGAATTATGCTGGTGACCGTCCGCTGATTGGAGTGTCCATCATTAGGGGACTTAATGGTGTACCTCCCTCTCCTTACACAACACAAGCCTGACACACCACCTCACAAGTCTGAACCAGCCTTACACCACACAAGTCTGAACCAGCCTTACACCACACAAGTCTGAACCAGCCTTACACCACACAAGTCTGAACCAGCCTTACACCACACAAGTCTGAACCAGCCTTACACTACACAAGTCTGATACAGCCTTACACCACACGAGTCTGACGCACCACCACAGACTAAACCCACCGCGTTGCCACTAAGTACAGCAAGGTAGACATATTCTGTGCCAAATTATTACCACATACAAACTACGAGTCTGATCGCCTTGCCTTACATAACACATCTAAAAGTTGAGTCAGAGGTCTTGTTTCACATGATGGCATTATTGTCACTGTGAATCCCTGGGGACGCCTGTGTGCCTCACCCTGTCTCTACCATACACTACACAACCACTCTGGCTGCGTCTTCCAATGCACTTTTTTTATTATTTTTATGATGTTGATGTTAAGTTACAGGGTGATTTTTTTTCTTTTATTAACCGGTAGAAGGATTTTAGGCGGCGGTAGTAGTAGTTCTGTTCTGACCCTCAATTTAAATGTTAACTCAGCTACACATGTATGGTACTTAAATTACGTATTACTAACATTTACCCTTTCTTGCAGGTAAGGGGCGGTGAGGGTATCGTCTTCTACCATGTCTTGCCGAGATGTTAAGGTAACTTCCGAGAGTCAGTTCATGTTTGGTACCTCAACATACGTGACTAACAGGTCGTGCTGGACGGTTCTAACACTGTCAGACCTGTCCATTTATAATCCTCAGGCGAGGTCAATACATAATGGATCATTTTGACACTGATTTTTTCCATGTAAATATTTGGTTAATGACGAGTTCAGGTGTTTTGATAAAGAGAAATACTATTACTGTTGGTCCACTACGATGGGGAACAGTTAATCTAAATTTAGCTGAGTGTTTGTCAGGAATACTTTCTTCGTTCATTCTTCTGGGATTCAAACTATGGAAAGCGTGAGTAAAGCCTGAATTTCATGATATATCTCAATAATGCGAGTTGATCAGTGAGTGACGTGGTGTTAGTGTAGTGTTGGGTTGTTGGTCGTGGCGGTCCTTGGTCGTGATAATCGGAATGTGGTAGTTGTGGGGTGTTGCTTGTGTACACTGGCCCACCTACTCTCGTCTAGGGTACATCTCCCCCTGTCTGGCCTTCACATTATGCATATTGAGCCCAACTTGGCAATGAGAGTCGGGGAAAGTTATTTATTCCATTACAGAACACCTTGAGCGTGAACTAACACTAAACAATATTGGATGCACTTTATGACGTCGAGGACAGGTGACTGAGGCCCTGGGAAGATTTTTAATGTAACCTGCTTTAGTTTTGACTTTCTAATCGGTGAATGATGAATGACACTGAGGCTGGATTAGTTAATGTTTACAGAGTATTATTTAAAAATATATGGTAGATTATTTATTTTTGTTATTATTATTATTATTATTATTATTATTATTTAGTAGTATATTTTTTAGGAAGGTTTAGCATTGGTGAGTAATGTTACCTTTGAGTTTGAGATGAGATTGTAGTGGTGGTGGAGGATGTAGGTGGTTGGTGCGGGGACGATGTCAGGGTGGTGTTGGTGGGAGGATGTCATGATGGTGTTGGTGCGGGGGAGGATGTCAGGGTGGTGGTGGTGTGGGGAAGATGTCATGATGGTGTTGGTGCGGGGGATGATGTCAGGGGGGTGGTGCGGGGGAAGATGGTGGCACAGTACGGTGTGGACCAAGCCGCCACACCTCTCAAAACTCTCAGGTCACTCTCACATCTGTCACACCCTTGGTCACACCTTCCAGGTCCCCCGGAGGAACATTTAAAGGGGGCCACACTAATACGGCAGATGATCACACCTACATCAATATAAACAAGTACGGTATGTATGTATTCATGTATGTATGTATGTATGTATGTATGTATGTATGTATGTATGTATGTATGTATTCCAAACATGATGGCCACGAGCTGGTTCACCTGTGTGGTTGACAGAGTAAACAACACTCACCTGTTGTTAGGATAAGGCCATTGAGCCACACACCACCTTAATTACCCACCTGGTGAAGGAGTTACCTGGGCTGAATCGTAGCCACAGAGGAAGAGGAGTTTAGGTCTTGTTGTGGTCATGTTTACACGGTGATCTGTTATCTATCATAGGAGACAAAGATGTGTTGGGGATGTGTTTGTCAGGGGATGTAGAAATAAGATCACCTGAAGATTTTCCCTTCTTCCCAGCCAAGTTCACCTAAAGAGTAACCACCCTTAAACTAATTGGGGGGTTAGGTTAGGTTAGGTTACACTGAAAATAACTTTTACTTTACAATCATTATCCCAATTTCACGGAGTATAACTTGTGGTCAGTGTACATTATCCTCCTGGTCTTAATGGCGTCTTGGTTTATTTATTAGGTGATTCATTGTGTTGAAGTCAATCATTATAAGAACGAACTCTCAGCAGGCATATATGGGTGAAGGAATAAACACATTACCTGTTAGTAACCGAGTTGACAGCCAGGTCAGGTCAGGTTGACAGTACAGGACAGGTGAGAGGAGGGACGGGTGCTGGGTCAGGTCAGAGCGGGAGAGGTGAAGGTAAATTAGTTGCCACTTCATCGTTGGGTGGCTGGGGGAACCTAACCTAACCTAACCTAACCTAATCCAAGGTCTATGGGGGAACTTAACCTGACAAGATTAGATTAATTAGTTACCGTGGTGATGACTCGTCTACAGGAGTTGATTTTTTTACACCTGAACACCTGTCATCATACATGGTAATACATGAACTCTTCTCGGAAATATACGGACAGTTTGAATTATACGTTCACTTGACACAATAAATAAATAACAAAGTATTAACCGCGGTAACCTTCTGATATGTTCTTATTACCACCATGTTATGTGTATTATTCCAGATGATACTAAATATTACATAATACTTCCTTGAGATAAATGTACAGTATATATATATCAGGTGCCTACAAGAGAGCTCAGGTTCTCAACTGGCTCAGCCATGTTAATATTAGGATTTTTTAATCGACTCTGTATCTGTGTTCTTCTGGCTAAATAATCTGTTTCAATATCGATATCAACTTGACACTGGCATATTGAAATATAGGGGCTCTTGATACAGCCACTTGATACGGACAAGTTGAAATATACGGACACTTAAATATACACGGACACACGGTGAAAACACGGACGTTAGAGAAATAGAGGAATGAAGGAGAATACGAACGAGGAGACATAAAGGAGACAGGAGTAAAGATGAAGAGAAATAGAGGGATAATAATGATGATGATGAGAGAAAAGAATATTTGAAAGTAGTAGTTGTAGTGTTGTGGTGGTGGTAGTAATAGTTGTGGTGGTGGTAGCAGTAGTGGCGGTGGTAGAAATAGTAGTAGTAGTAGTAGTGGTAGTTGTGGTGGTAAGAGTAATAGCGGTGGTGGTGATAGAAGTAGTGGTAGTTTGGTGGTTCACGACTAATGAAAGACTCGACACACACGAGTACTGTCTGTTGTAATTGCGTTAAGTACTGTACACCCAGATCAATAGTCTTTAAGATTATTGTAAGGTTTACGTGTTGCCCAGCTCCTCGTCCTGCCTGCCTGCCGAAGGGGTATTCCTCAGTTAGTGGATCAAGCTCTCGCCACCTTTGTTTATCGGGGGAGTACGACAGAGTGGCGTCAGGCAGTGGAGGTTCTTGTTGCCACGGGCCTATCTCTACCCTGGGTACGTCAGCGGCTCACCCTGACTGCCACACATCTAGAAAGTCGTATTTCTTAACGTTTAATGTCCGTATTTTTGTGTGAAACTTGCTTTATTTTTATGTTGTTATGGGTAAATGGTTAGTGCGTTTGTTTTCGCCGTCAGTATTTTTTGTCCTTGAAAACTAACAAGAAAGTGTAGGATGCTCGACGATCGTGCCTCCGCCATCCTCAACCAGAATCCCTATAAATTGAGGAGGATGCCTCAGCTCGGCGCAGTTCGCCCGGGAGCCTAGACGGTCACTGAGAGCTTCACCGTTCTCTTATTGAACATCGACCGTTCACCCCTTGTCTGCCATCTTCTTCCACAACCCAAGTGTGGTTGAAGAAACCATCTGAATACTAGGGATTAGGCTCCCGCAATCTCTAACAATTATACACAACCACTTTTACTTAACTTCACCATGGGTAAATACACTCGTCAACAATGGCTCACCCTCATCGTCTTCGCCATCGCCGACTTCTGCAGCGCCGTCTGCGTATCTCTGCAAGCTCCCTTTTATCCCATTTTGGCGGAGTCGAAGGGTGCGACGCCAACTCAATATGGCTTCGTCTTCGGTATCTTCGAGCTGACAGTGTTCATCGTGAGTCCCATCTACGGTAACTACCTGAACAAGATCGGTCCCAAGTTCATGTTCAACGCCGGCATCTTCACCACCGCCACCACTTGCATCATGTTTGGATTCTTGGATAGAATAAATGACACCAATGTCTTCATTGGGCTGTCCTTCGCCATCCGAATCGTAGAGGCCATGGGCAACTCTGGCTTCCTGACGGCGTCATTCAGCATCATCGCCAAGGAGTTCCCTGATAACGTGGGTGCCACCTTTGCCTCCCTAGAGACCTGCTTCGGCCTGGGTATGATCGTGGGTCCTACGCTGGGCGGGGCGTTGTTCGAGCTGGGTGGCTACACTCTGCCCTTCGTCACCCTGGGTTGTATGCTGCTGTGTGCCGCATCTTTAACCTACTGTATCCTGCCATCTTATAGTTCTGAGTTCAAAGGCGAGTCAGGCTCTAGCGGCAGTATGATCTCGCTGATAAAGGTCCCAGCCATTGCCCTCGCTGCCTACGCCATCATTGCCTCTTCCATCAGTATCGGCTTCCTGCAAGCAACCTTGGAGCCCCACCTACGCCCCCTCAAGTTGTCACCCTTCCAGCTGGGACTCATGTTTGTTCTCAACGGCGCTACATACGGCTTCTTCGCTCCACTGTGGGGATGGCTGTGTGACAAGCGCATCAACCCCAGGATCGTAGTCATCTTCGGGTCCTTTATGGTGATGATTGCCTTCATCATAATAGGACCAGCGCCGTTCCTGCCCATCCCCACGACACTGCCGCTGTGCATCTTTGCCCTCGTCCTGCATGGTACTGGGTTTGGCGCCGAACTCGTTGCCACCTTCACCAGCGCCCACCGAGATGCTGTCGTCAACGGTTTCCCTGACGACATTGAGACCTACGGCCTCGTCTCGGGACTCTGGACTTCCACCTTTGCCCTGGGCGCCTTCATCGGGCCGTCAGCTGCAGGGGCGCTGTTTGACTGGATTGGTTTCGGTTGGGCCTCGGTGTTCGTGGTGGCCCTTCACTTGATCGTCGCGATATCGTTCATCCTCAATATGTGCTGCACCAAGAAGAAGCGTAACTCAGGTCTGTACATCAAGATCCACGAGAGTTTAGCAAAGAGTGACCCCGAGAAGGCCTCCCTCATCACCGCCACCAAGAAGAACTCCTTCAGCTCTATATCTGATTCATCTTATTTCAGCGGGGCGTCGGATACGTCTGAAGAATACTACATCTACTGACTATAACATCTTCCTTCAGTGAGTAATATACTAGTCCTCGCAAGTGTCAGGCATCCAGTAGCGGTGTCTGGAGGTTGATTTATTATCAACATGGCGACCACTACTTCCACCCAGGGGAAGATGGTACAGCTGTGGCTGCCCTCAACCGAAACAAGATTTTGGATGATTTCTACATCTTCGCGAATAGGTCACCACGTCACTACTGATACCAGACGTCATCAGTCGGTACCTTCACCTACTGGTTGTCTGAGTTACAGGTGTCCGGCCGACCCGCCAGTATTAGGTCAGGATAAGCAGGTGGAAGGCGGGTGTTTCCTGGAGCCTTATTATTGTTCCTGTGCTGTACGTAGTTATGTCAAACTATGGTACCCTCATAGGTCTCTCTTAATATTGTTAATTGTCCTAATGGTGCTCATACCTACTGCTCAATGTTGTTATAAGTATTGTCTACACGGGCTCTTATCACTACCTAGGTTGTTGATGTACGGAGTTAGAATTGAATGAGAATGTTGTGTGTAACTTATGAAATGAAACTGAAAAATCTGTAAACTCTTTATTATTATCCCTCCCTATATATTATTCGGAGTATATTACACAGACAATGACACGTCTTTGTCACACACAAGTTTTAATATTATTTTTTTCATCATTTTGTCTTTCAAATACATCATAGGTTCACTCTATCTCCACAAGGGATGAAATGAGCTGTAAGAGAAAACTATACATCCGGGTTATTTAAAGTTACTATAACATAAGAAGAAAGTAATGACTACTAAACCAAGGGGAAGCCTGAAATACTACTACTACTACTACTACTACTACTACTACTACTACTACTACTACTACTACTATTTTTAATAGCCTCCACACATTTTCTCACCTGACGACAAATACTAAGACACTCACATTTTCCAAACTCACTCGACTTTATTTTTTTCCTGTGAATAAATACGAGGACTTAACATGCTGATATAGAACAAAAACTGCCTCAGAAAATGACTTATATTCTACTGATGGTAAAACTATAATAAATATATATAAACTTCACGAAACACAAATAATATTATAAGAGTCTATGAAGCTTTAGCCCAGACTGTTCTTTATGGCTGAATACCTTAAGAAATTATATATTACCGATGGAAATACTATACTGACCTGTAATGACTGGTGGTGGGGTCAATTAAACACAAGAATGATGACCTGTAATGACTGATAGGGTCAATTAAACACAATAATGATGGTAATTGAGAGTATATTATTAATTCTGGGTCAAACGTGATTATTTACTGACCACGAGAAAGGTTGAGAAATGGGATTATTATGTGTTTACCTTGACAACAGTTTAAGGAATAATCACACAGTATTGAGGATGTTTTTATATGAAAGACTTACCTGCTGGTGATCGCTAATTATGTCAACAGGTAGATGAAGTGTAGGTAAATGGAGGGAGGGAGGGTTGTGTGGATAGGAGGGAGGGTGTGTGTAGGGAGAGGAGGGAAGGAGGGTGTTTGGGGAGAGGAGGGAGGGTGTGTGGGGAGAGAGAGGTGTTTGGGAGGAGGAGGGAGTGGAGAGGAGGAAGGAGGGTGTGTGGGGAGAGAGAGGTGTTTGGGGGAGGGAGGAGGGTGTGTGATTGAGAGAGAGAGGGAGAGAGGATGGAGGAGGAGGCAGAAATGGGAGGGGGGAGGCGGAGGAGAGATGAGGGGAGGGACACCTCTCATTGTGCGTGTCACCCACCACCTTCCCCCCCTGTCTTGGGTGCTTCTGGGAGACTTGGTCGCTGACGAAGGAGTGATCCACCTTATCGAGAGACTGTCACAAGGCCGAGCATCATAGTTTGGAATCTTGCTTGGAACTGAAGATATAAGGATATATTTACGTGTTATATTAGTTTTAATTGAGGAAATGAGGCCACTATTATGTACTGCTTTAGCTGTATTTCTCTATATCTTCCATCGGCTGTATGTGGTCCCCAGCCTCCAGAAAACGGGAGTAAAAAAAAAAAAAGTGGAGTAAGAATAAGAATGCGGATGAGGCCGAGAGAGGTGATTGTTGCTGGATGGCGGAGAACTTTATCAACGTTTGCTGTTATCCTTGAGGAGTTCCAGCTGTCAGGTTGTCAGCATCAGGCACAGCTCCTCGGTAACAGCTTCCAGACGTCATAAATAATGGAAGAATAGACCAAGCCGGGAGATGAGAGAGGGAGGAGGGGAAGACCGGTTCAGTGGCGCCAGTACCTGAACCACCTCGCCCCTCCCTCTCTCTCTCCCTCCCTCCCTCTCTCTCCATCATGGTGCCCTGGGCTGTGCCGGCCACTCAGCTGTGTCTCGCCTGCTCCTCACACCCTGTTCTCCCCGCTGCTCTCGGCACAGTGAACGAATGAACGGTTTAAGGAAATAATAATGAATAACAGTAAATAGAACAATGCAATAACGTGTACTAACAATAAAGATGTAGGTAAAGACTTAGAATTTTGATTGATAGTTGAGGCGTTGCAGACATCATAAATTGTTTGATAATTATAGAGTTTAAAGATCAGGAATTGTTCAACGCTGAAGCTATCTAGATAGAGGGGTGTGTAAGAGTGTGTTCAGAGCCATAAATACACGTTATCCCACGGACGAAAGAGTCATTAAGTATTTAGTTTGGGAGAAAAATCGTACCGAATAGAACTTACTGTAACTTAATTAACAATGCAGGTATAAACGAATGGGAGTTTGTCCACTGATTATATTTTTGGTGGAGGGGTTGGGGGGCTGAGAGTGTCCGGGCAGGTGGAGAGAAGGAAGGAGACCCAGTGCGTAGCTATTGATGGGTTGAAACTTTGTATAACTTTGTATGTGGAGGAGAGACAGAGGTAGTAGGCCAAGAATGATCTGGACCTCAGAACATGACGAGAGAGGCTGCAAGAGACTGTGCAACTTAGAGAACTTTCATCAGGTAATCATGGCTAACCCGGGCAGTGGTCATCAAATGGTCGTGATGGTGATGATGATTTCGGTGATGGGAATTGGTTTTAATTTGTTATTATTGATTTGGTGTTGAGTTTTTGTCAGGATGGATTGTGTAGTGCACTTGGGATACCACACTGTAGTCTTCCCTCCCTCCCTCCCTCCCTCCCTCCCTCCCCCCCCACCTTCTTTTCTTGTACTGTATTAACCCCTTGAGGCCGTCCTTCCTTATAAGGTTAAACCACCCTCCTTTATGGGTTAAACCTCTCTTACATGATTAAACCAGCCTCCTAAAAGGGTTAAATCATCGTTCTTAATGGATTAATCTATCGTCTTGAAAGGGTTAATATATTTTATAGGGGTTAAGTCACTGTGATCAGGGAAGGGAGATGGTACCACACTCAAGGGGGTAAGCACAGGTAAGACTTACTGGATGTCATGGGTGGTTATGCATATGGGCGGTGTGGGCGGCGGTGGGTGGGTGATATAGGCGTCACTGGATGGTGTGGATGATGAATTTGAAGATAAGGGAGATGAATAATGTGTGTGTGTGTGGGTGATGTGAGAATGATTGGTGGTTCGTGTGACAATGGATGATGTGGATGATGATGACGGATGATAAGGTTAGTCGTTTATAGGGAAGACTTCAAGTTTGGTCGTGAAGCACAAGGATAGGCCCACGTACAGCAGCAGATGACCTCTCCCTCCCTAGCTCCCTCCTCTCATCCCTCCTACCTCTCTCCTCACCTACCTCCAGAAGACCTCACTTTCCGCACCTTTAAGATGACCTCTCTCTCTCTCTCTCTCTCTCTCTCTCTCTCTCTCTCTCTCTCTCCAGATCTCACTCCTTCGTGCTGTGGGTGGGGGCTGACGGTCCTGTGTTGTGGAGACACCTGCATAGTTACGTGAGGGAAAAGAGACACACACCTGAGTTTGATCGTAGTGACAGGTGTGTGAAGGTGTGTTATGAGAGTATAACACATGTGGCAGTAGTTAGTAGGAAGGTTAATGGAGATATGCACCCGTCATTGAGTTAAGTAGTCGGGGTGGGTCGATTTTCTGGTAGCCAAATTTAACCTAACCTAACCAAACTGAATCTAACTTAACTTAACCTAACCTAAAGTAGTTAACGTAACCTTAACTTAACTTTACCTAACCTTGCCTAACTTAACCTAACCTAAAGTAGTTAAACGCGAAGCAGCAACCCAGCACACCCAGCAGCGCCTGGCAACACAACTCAAAGCTGGTTAACGTGTATAACCTTTTAGCATACTTTCTCTTTCCAACTAACTAAAGTAGTTGCTATGCCTTAGCCCAGCACACTAACATGCACAACAACACAACCTAAAAGTGAATTAGCATGTAACCAACGGCTTTATCTGACAGCACACCTAGCCAGCAACCTAAAGTGGTTAACATGGCATACTTAACTTTACTAACCCACTTACCAACAACACAACCTAAAGTAGTTAACGTGACATAGCAAGCACACACTACTTTATGCTTTAACTAAAGTGGTTAGCATGCTTATAGCAACACACTAACAACCCTAACCAACCTATTTCAGGCAGTTAGCCTTAACTTAACTTTACCTAACCTTGCCTAACTTAACCTAACCTAAAGTAGTTAACGTAACCTTAACTTAACTTTACCTAACCTTGCCTAACTTAACCTAACCTAAAGTAGTTAACGTAACCTTAACTTAACTTTACCTAACCTTGCCTAACTTAACCTAACCTAAAGTAGTTAACGTAACCTTAACTTAGCCTAACTTAACTTAAACAAACTAAGCTACTGAACGTAAACAAATGTATCCAACTTAAGACTAACTTGTATTATGGTGTTCCTGTGTTGGGCGGACAGATGCCTTACTATACACACAGTGCTGGTACACCTTCTGTCCCTTTGATTCATTAACTATAGTTCACGAAGACGATACGTGTCATTATATTGTGTACAGCACCTCCACGTCACCTGCCACAGGACCTTGGCGGTAACTACTGTCAGATCTACTAATTGATTTGTTCGTGTTTGTGTCCGGTGAGTCAACAACTTTCAACTTGATGATATAGGCCGACAACACCTTCTTCCTCACTGGTGATAATGTAGATGTTTGTGTGTGTGTGTGTATGTCAGTTAAGGATTATAAGTAATTTAATAATTTTTAAGAAGCCTGTGATGTATGGTGGTGTGGCAGCTTGTCCTGGTGCGTCCTTGGCAGGTTCAGAGATAAATGTTGTCACAGTAAACAGTGACCATCCGCGAATGGGTTGTGTCCTGGGCCGAGGCGGTGTGGTTTTCAGATCTAGGAGGCGCTGCGTTGCACCGCCACCACCACTGCCACGGGCTAAATAGTACACACACACACACACACACACACACACAGTATCCCCCACACACACGCCCCTCACAGGGTACTTCTCAAGGTCATGTGGCCATATATTGATAAAAGGAGATGGCGGAGACTCCACAGTTTCATAATACCTGTGTTTATATTCCTTTGTTCAGTCTGTGTAAGTTTAGGCTAAGTACTCTTCACTGTTATGGCCGCTCTACAGTAGTTAGTGCCAGGCGAGGACCTGACGTCGCGGCACCAAGGGT